ATCGCTCGTAATTACACCTGTTTCAAATCGTCCGCTAATTTATAAACACGCTGTACTGCCTTTTACTGTACTTAGCAAAGGTAGAAATATTAATAAATAATCAGTTTTGATATACTGGCCCACAATATGAAGTTAAACCCTCAAATCGCTATCAGATATTATCATACTGAATTACTAGCCTTTTGGGAGGCAAGTCTGTAAGAGTGGACCAGAACAGTTTTATGCACTTTCAAAACACAACGGACTCATTTGAATATAAGACCATAAAACAGCGGAGAGTGTGGGAGAAAATAAAGGAAATTTATTTATTTAAGATTTGCAGTGAAAGTTTCTTCTTTGCTTTATCCCAAGGGGACACGTGACCTGGGCGTAGTTAGCATTGCAAACGCACGTAATAATTCGCTGAAGTTACTTAAAAGTTGTATATGTATTTTTAATACAGCTTCAGATTATAGTAAACTCTGGATTCTTTTGGACAAGAAAATCAATTTTAAAGCTACTTTATGGGGGAGATGGATAAATTAAAATGACAAGATTTATGTGGTTTTTGAAAAGTTCGTAGTGATGAATGGTCCCATACATTATTTTTTGTTTGGTAAAAAGATGTAAGTAACCTACCGAAAAACAAAAAATTAATATATTTATAAACATTTAATTTGTGTTGTAATAACCTGGGGGGGGGGGCGGAATATGTCAGTTCTAGTTTTCCGAACCAGAGATTGCTTTTGTACATTCATCTGCGCAGTTCTGTGCCCCTTCATAGTTGAATCATACTATAGCAGCAGAGAGACAGATTTAACTCGGCGTGGCTTGTGATTCGCTGTGATTCCTGCAGGGCAACACGTGATTTAATGCCAGACACAGTTATCACGTTCTTCATATATAATCATGAAATAAAACGGTTCGGCAAAACCAGTTCTTGACTACGCGGTCCTTATTATTCGCCCTACGCGGAGCAGAATTTGGCTCTAGAATAACAAATGGCAGGAAATTATAAACGACAAATCACTCAAGACTATATGCAATTACGACATGACATTTCAAAGTCATACTTATATATAGTTTTAAAGTCTGTGACGCCATGTCTTTTAGAATTTTTACAGAGTTTCGGAGAAACCCCATCGTCAAAATTTGAATGACATTTAAGACGGAGTGTGAAGACTGTCTTCTGGGTTGTTGCGTTGTACAGAAGTTCACCGACGTTTCAGAGATCCTTATAGTCTCCATCATCAAGGCGATAAACAGAATGAACACTATTACGCTGAAAGTTTTGCTGTAAATATCTGGGAGGAGCACATGAATTTAAAAAAAAAAATCAAAGTTCTTATAATTTCCCCCAAAATATAAATTAAGGTCACGTAATTATAAAAGCTAACATTACGTATCATAATATAATAAAACAAAATTAATATATGCGTACTTAAGGGAATCTAAATAATTTGAAAACACAATACTTCACCATTAAAAACATGAATCGGTTAACGTGTTCCAGGAAGTGTTGTTATTTTTACAGTGAGAATTATATGAAACTGTTAAATAAAATATCGAGATTTAATGAAAAAGTGTTTCAGTTTATACACGACACACCATCTCGAAAGACAGTAATTTCATACTCGTCGCCGTCAGAACCTGAAATATCACCTAATTACGTTCTATTTGAGCTTTATATGTAGTATATAAACAGTTAAGGTAATGATATAAAATGGTTTCGGAACTAATTGCTTGATTCCTGCAAGCCGTTGCGGAAACAGCGCTCAATTGTTTTTCTGAATGCCGTCTGTGTCAGGTCGTAATGAAAGTGAAGTCGAGACGAATCGATATAAATCGAAACGCAGAACTGACGCTGTGAAATGACACAAACCCATAACGTAATTCTGACGTCTGAATTATATAAATTTCCATAATTACGAATCCGAATGTCTGACATCTTTGTGAATTGTCGATACGGCTATTATCACAGTAATATGATGCAGGGGTATACAAACAGCTATATTAGGCCGAATTAGACAAATAAATAAATACGTATAAAAAAGGAATCTGATGGTAGTTTAAGTCTGTGTAAATCTGCGCTGTTTTTATGCGTCGAACGTTTTAAACGACATCAGAAATGAAGCCGTCAGAATGTATTTAATTTACGAAACAATTCGACGAATTTCGAATTAATTTGGTATTTGTGGCGAGAGATTTTATTTGTGTTTCATATCGACCCTTTGACTCCTACTTTTACAAAAAGTGTATTTCAAATGTTAAAATATTTTAACCTACTGTTCTTCTCATTTACATAATCTTGGGCCAACAGAAATGTTTGAAGTTTTGAAGCCCAGTGATTTTTTTATCTGCAGTTATATGTGATTAATGTGTAAGACTACGATTATCGTGAAAATTATCGTGGTTTTCCTCAGTGTCTACTGGCGAATGCTTAGATAGTACAGTAAAGTACTATTCATTACTATTTTCCGAACCGCATTGGACATTACAGAATTTGATTTGTGTAAACATCATCAAATCATCCTCCGTACGCATATAATAACTCGAGAACGGCTGAACGGATATTTACAAAATTTGATATTGGGAAGTTTTAATTAAATTTATCGTCGCTTTCGAGTTTTGCTAAAGATCGGATGACAATAAGAGAAACTTCGTAAGCACACCTTCATGTGTCTTTTCGAGCGGTTGACTGGGGGTAAACCCCCTAGCCGGGGAATATCTCAGGAAAATTTCAAGGTCAAATTCCAACAAATAAGTCACATTTCTTATACAAAACTTCCTAAAAAAAAGTAAAATTTAAATACGTTTAAACATACACAAGATTTGCAACAGGTTTCTTCTGCATAATAATTAAACAGTGCTGACAGAAAAATAGAACATAGCGCTGCCTAGTGAGTACAACCTGTACTACATACTTTGATCTCAACATCACGGTCATGTTTCCAATTTGCATATTAATTACTCGAAACAAATGTTGATGAAGTTTTAACATGTCTTATTGTTATCCCACGGAAATTATAATGGTCACCGCCTACAAGATTTTAAATTGCCGTGAAAAAAGGGCAAAAGACTTACTGCTAATCACTTCGTAAAAATTTTTCCCAACAGACACCGCGCGCCGTAAGACATTTATTAAACTAGAAATTAAATTTAAATTGTTCCACAGGCAAAAAAAAACGTGTAATATAAGTTTTCAACTAACTCTGATGTGATGGTCCTATATCTTCCAGGATGTAAGTTAATTTACTTTAATTTTATGACTAAGGACGGTTTTGAATTTAATACTTAATATAACATTAATCAGGCTGACTAGAAAACTAAGAGTACTTATCGAAAAGTTCATAAAACGTTCAGAAAATCCAATCCTAATCGAACTGATTCCATTCCACATATTAATGTATTTATCTAAGATCCATTTCATTTTACGATTCGGAATTCAAATATATCATTTATCTTGTTAAATATAATTATACTAAAATATTACGTAACATCTGAGTGCATACAGAAATGTATTATTAGTAGTCTACTTATTTTTAATAAATTTACCTATTATATTATTACATTTAAGAAGGGCATATTTTATATTTATTACTTTGGACTGAAACCAAAATGAGATGTATTAATGTTAAAAATAAAAATAAAAAATTAATTAATAAGAGTTAAAAAATGTTAAGATCAAATCAACTCGCTGATACGAGTGACATAATTACTCAGTAATGAGATGTGTATTTTAAGATGTTAACAGCTGGACATCTGTTTGTTTTTTGTAGATAAAATGGTAAAGCGAATTCTGATACATACGGCCTTCTCCGTGGTTTTATTGGTGGCAGCGAGTATTAACATGGCGTCTTCCTGTTCCTGCATGATGTCGCATCCACAGACGCACGCCTGCAGAGCTGACTTCGGTAAGAACAGAGTTCCTAACATTACGACATTTTCTCCATTCATGCTCGATTAATAAAGGAATATAAATTTAATTAATTAATCTTGTCCGTCTAATCACAATTTAAAATTTAAAATTAAGATAATTAAAATACTTAAAATATTTTAATTATCTTAATTTTAAATTGTGATTAGACGGACAAGATTAATTAATTAAATATATATTTTCACAATATGACGCAACTCATGTTCTTACAAAGGAATATAAGTCTATTAATGACTAAAATTTTAGTGGACTGTCTTTCCAACCTAAACTTCCCTTCCATTACTGTTATTTGTAGCTCAACCATTCTTTCCTATTTAAGGATCCTGTGTTTGTATCTCAGAAAAGACGTACTCGGCGATTGATCGACTAACAGACCGGCTATACTGGAGAGCGTTTTATCTTGAATAGCTAAGCGACTGTCAGTTTGTTAAGAAGTATTCTGCCCCATGGATGTCGTTAGCATCTTAAACAGGCCACGACAGCTTACTTTCACATCAGTTCTAACCCACCAATTAAAATATCCTGCTGTTTAATGTTAGATAATTTACGAAAGTCGATGTTCTTAACGAGACTTTTCTCCCTAGCGGCGAAACTTACAACTACGAGGCATAGGTCTACATGTTCACTACGAAGAGATTTAAACGGGCTCTCACCCTTCACTTCAAAGCACAATACGCCTTCCAAGAACTAGGTCTTTCGATGCGAAAAATCTTAAAACGAAATCAGGTTAATGACCATGTTTAATTTGTGTTCGAACACGCTTTATTTCAGGAAGGCTCCACTTGGTCAATCGCTTCGCCTTTAATAAAAGTAATTACCATTTCGCTATACTACGGCCACAATAGACATGTAGTTAACTTGCGACCACAAACAATTTTAAATCGAAAAATAAACTGTAAATATTTTACTGGAAGAATTTCCATGATGCTGTACTTTCGCGTTGCTGTACGAGCTTGTTCAGAGCGAAATTAAAAGTACGACTCTCAAATTTTTCGTGACCCTAACAGAATATAATATCCAATGGTAACTATACATCTCAACTGCTTCAAAAATAATTAACTCTTGAATTTGTATTTAAGAGTTTCGTATTATTCTCACTGTAAACAGTGATTATATCCTTAAACAGCGTTAACAAGTTTATTTTCGTAATGGAGAAGAGTTGTGTTTTCTTTGCGGTACGGACTGGATGGGTAAATAATAGACTAGCATCGGCTTCAAAGGGTTATATTATACGCGTGACAACAACAGCACTAGAATTATATAATTTACATTTTACAATAGTACAAAGTTTAATTTAATACGTGGCACAAATTAAACATGATAATGAAAGATAAGTCAATTAAAATGAGATGAAAATATCTATCTTACTAATAACTCAATGACTGAGTTTTAAAAACACAAACTCACGGCAAAAGTAAGTCTAGTTTAGTTTCATTAATAACCTCGATAAGATTGTGTGAATGTGGCGACAAGTCTAGACAAATTTTTGAACACCCCTGATCTGGAGATTATTACGGGTATGCAGTGGATTTGAGAGTCTGACAGTTGAATGACTTGCATTCTTATAATCATATTAATGTCATCACGTACTTTGGCTGTCATCTTTTGGTTCGAAGTTTTACATTTCACTTTTTTGTTCTCATTACAAGTCTAACCACAGTATTATTGTTAAAGAATTAATACCGTAATAATAATACTTAAAAAACAGCAGACACTTTTAAGTCACAAGATGTCTCCTGGGATGTACAAGCGATAGAATGGGTGATATTACTGCTCATGTGCAGTATATTTCTATTCCAAACACCCTGTATAAAGTAACCTCCAGTTAATACAGCGCATTGCGAGGGATAGACGCATGTTTTTATAAAAGACAATAGCGTAACCATTTACGATTACCGTACTCTCAACGGGATTATCATGGCGCGCTGTCAGCATCCAGTACTGTTACTTCATGTAAATAGCCGACTCTCAAAAATAATAAACTTTGACCTTTCTATATCTGACTTCTGTGGACAGAGTCATAATCCTTTTATGTCCACGCCGAAAGGATATTGTATTCACTAACATTACAGTTTGCTTCAACTTACATTCACGCAGGAGTTAGAACAACCGCTCGTACCATAAATAGTAAGATTCATTTCCGAGATAAATTGGACAGACATAAGAGTATTCAGACGTCAAGATTTCATTTATCCGTTCATTTATAAATAACCGATGCTTTTAACCGTACGTCTCGTGAAAGCACGTGTATAATGTTAATCCCTAACATGTCATGTCACGTTCTATTCATGTTAAGTCTTTAAATTCTTCACAAACTTAGCATCTCTATCAAATTTAAGCTAAGTATGATTCAAGGATTGTCAGAAACGATAATAATTATTTCTTAACAGTCGTCAACAATTTCTATGTCTGATTTCGTATTTTTTACACCAAACTAGAACATTTCGCATCAAACATTTAAAAGAAAAATGTTATTAATTAAAACTCTTTATGAATAATCACTGTTTAATCTCAGAATAATACGAAACCCCTAAATATAAAATTCAAAGCTACATATTGTTAATGCGGGTGGTACATATAGTTACCATTCGGCTAGAAAGACTTAAACACTCGACTTTAAATTCATGTAACTTACTTCGTTTATCAACAGTGCAAAATACAGATATTTGTGTACATTTTCACACTAAGAAATCATTCGCTAAATACACGTGAGTTACATAAGTCAGTTTTACATTGAACTACTGACAAATGTTCCCATATGACCGCCTTTGTTATTAGGCAGCCAAACGTGCATTCCCGTGTTGTGGGACGCATACATTCGGTTCAAAATTTAATTAAGTTACAACTATGAAATAAACAAAGCACAACACACTGGAAGAAACTTAAAGTTTGTCTTTACAATTTCTTTTTTTGTCTGCTCAGTATGGCTACCACGAGTTTATGCCAGAATTAAAATTTAATTAAATCGGGATTTAATTCTGACCCAACCTTTATAATTGCACGCGAGTATAATATAATCCAGTCGAATTTTTCTGATCGTGTTTTGTCTTGTTTCAGTAATTGTTGCCAGAGTAAAGAAAGTTTTTACCCATGACGGAATGTCCCGCGTCTACAAGGTGAAAATTAAGAGAGAGTTTAAGGTGAGTCTAACAAAGTATAAAGTATAAATTAAGTTTATCGCTTGACCTAAATACAACTGCGAAGAAATTCCGACTTAATTGAACGTTTATATAATTTGTATTCTGAATCAGATATTACTAGGGTGATCATATCAAGGGGGTGAGATGGGTGGGGCATGTAGGACGCAAGGGTAGAGATGAGAGATGCGTACATATTTTTTATGGAAACCCTGAACTGAAAACGCCACCTGGATAATAATAGGATTTTATGGAAATAGAGTTTGGGGGCCTCGATTGGATTAATCTGGCTAAGTATAGGGACCCTTGCAGGGATTTTGCGAACATGGTAATGAACTTTCAGGTCCCATAAAATACACGAAATGTATTAACTAGCAGAGTGTACTGTTAACATCTCAGTAAATATTCTGGGTTTATGTAGTTACAGGGAATGTTGAAGCTTATACAGGGTGTTCTGTTTAAAATGAAACCTAATTTTTTCCCCTCAGATGAGCGAGAAAGCGAGCGTCGTCTTGAAGGCGGGGCGACTAGTGACTGGTGGCTCCTCGTCGACGTGTGGTGTGCAACTGGAACCCGAGGTGACGTACCTGATAACCGGCAAAGTTCTGGCCGGTCAAGCGCACGTCAACCTTTGTAACTACATTACAAACTGGAATGACCTCACCGTCAGGCAGAAGAAAGGCTTCAGGCTGCTTTATCGCCAAGGATGTTTATGCGAGGTGAGGTTTTTAGATGGCGAAGTTCAGGAACAGAAAGAAATCTCAATAAACTACGACACCTATGCCACTCATCCATCAACTCTCATATACACTGACTTTTTTATGGGACTCTCCACATCCGTTAGTTATATTGACGACGAAGAAAAAATCTATTTGCCAT